TAACAGCAATGTCACGACACTAACCCAGCTATAAAAGGTAAATCAACTAGACTAATCACAACGGAAGCAACTCCTAAAAAGAGTTCAATTAGCTAATGGCTCTTCTTTTCATATCTCCTCTTCAGCGCAGGTTTGTAATACTTATCATTACCTACATAATTTAGTACACAACACGTACTGGTAAGTAGCTCACACCTGAAGAGCCACATAACAGTACACAAGGCAAACATCATGCTACTCACATCATGTAATGCATACTCAATCTCTACTCAAGCTCACTCAATGCCCACAATTTAGCTCTCACAAGGCTTTCTGCGACCGACACCTTCAAGGTACGTTGACCCCAACTAATGTTATCCAGGGTCACCGACATTCTTTGTCGTCCCCAACTGATTTTATCCAAGACCATCAACAGTTTCTATTGACCCCAACTGATTTTAGCCAGAGTCACCGAATCTCTTCATCGACCCCAATAGATTTTTATCCAAGGTCATCAACGTTCTCAAGAATCCCCACTACTTGTCTTTCTAGACTCATCGCACCGACCCTAACTATTTTCAAACAAGGCCATCGATGTTCATCTAAATCCAACGGCGATACAACATTTGACCGACGCACTTGATATTCACCCAACATTTCTTTATACGCACAACCCTCAGACCTCTTTCTCACACAATCTCACTAGAATGCATGAGTGCTATAACATGCTTCTAAACTATGCTTTATGTCAAAACCACATAAAACAGCGACATGCACTCAACATAACCCATACAATAATTCAAACATTCTCAAAAAATATGCTCATAAACAAAATCATACAACACCACCTCGGCATGCTAGTCCGTACAATATCGCCACGACATTACAACATACTTAAACATACCGAACACATACGATTCAAACACATCGACAATTTAAATCATAATTATTACTCAATTAAAACACAAAGCATGTTGGCACACAATAAACAGACCCAACGAGGGGGTGAACGCCGCTGGTTTCTGTCGTCACTGCAGCGAATTCGTGTAGCGCACTGCCGTGGAGCCTCGCCGGAGAAGAGAAGTTCGCTGGAGGGAGAAGAAGAAGATGTCGGAACGCCGTGGAACAGGTCCGCTGGTTTCTGTCGTCACTGCAGCGAGTTCGTGTAGCGCACCGCCCTAGAGCCTCGCCGGAGAAGAGAAGTTCGCTGGAGGGAGAAGAAGAAGATGCCGGAACGCCGTGGAACAGGTTGCTGGAGGAAAATACGCCGTTCGTGCGATGGGCGGTGGTGGTTCACCGGCAGATGTGCGTGTGAAGAAGAGAGGGGAGGGAGATGAAGAGAGGAATTGGGACAACGGTTTTCTAAATTTTCCCTCTTATTTTTCATTTCTCACTCTCTTTATAAGCAAAAACAAATTACTCGAAAATTAAAAAAAAAAATTAAAAAAAAATTGAAATCCAAATTAAAGAATTAAATGTGAGAAAAATCTAATTGAATAAAGTTTATTTCTTTAAAGAAAAATCATAATTTGAAGAAATTTAATTTAAATTTAATTTCTCAAATTAGAATTATAAACTGATAATTTCTCATTTATAGTAATGAGCTAAAATATATCTGAGAGAGTTAATTGAATCCGAACTCGAGGAGAAGCAATGGCGTCGAGAAAAGGAGGTAGCGCCGGCGAAGGGGTGAGATCGTTGGAGTTGGAGAAGATGAGTGTCGAGCAGCTAAAAGCCTTCAAGGAACAGATTGATATGGAAGTCAATCTCCTTCACGATAGCCTCAACAACATTCGCACAGCCACTTCTCGCCTCGACATTGCCACCGCTGCGCTTCACGACCTCTCGCTCCGCCCTCAAGGTTCTTTTCTCTGTTTTACTGCTAGAAGTTGGTGCAAGTAAGTTTGTTGGTTCTGATTGTAATCTGCAATTCCTCCTTCGTTTTTATATGGTTTTGTTTCGTCGTTGATTTATTTGTTGTGATTCTTCGATGAGGCTGGGAAATAGTCTGTTGTGTTTGCTCGATTGTGCTGATTGTTGATTAGTTTTTTTTTTTTTTTTTTTTTTTTTTTTTTTTTTTTTTTTTTTTTTTTTCTTCTTAATGCTTNGGCAAGAAGATGTTGGTGCCTCTTACTGCGTCGCTTTATGTTCCTGGAACGCTCGATGATGCCGACAAGGTCTTGGTGGATGTAGGCACTGGATACTTCATTGAGGTCGGTTTGGTGGACTTTTGAACCTGATTGTTTGGTTGCTATTGTTCAATTCTTGGTTGATTTGTTCTTGCATCACGTGTTATTTGTTTTTCACAAAAAAAAAAAAAAAAAAAAGGTTGAAATTCTATTCAGTGTTCATTTGATTTCATTCAGCAACGAGACTGGTGTAGCTGAAAATTGATCTTCGTTTTCCGACACATGGCTGATGTCCTTGTATTACAAAATGTCATGAATTACTTGTTATTCACAATGTAGTGTGGTGCCTTCTGTTGAGTGATGCATGCTGGTTTACTTTCGCTTTCCGTTGCCAATATGGCAATACTTAAATTCTTAGTATTTTCACATGAATTTTCAGAACATTATTAGAAAGTAGGTAACAAAATAAAGAAATTCATAGGTGGAAGTAGTGTTTATAAACTTAATTTTCAAAAACCGATATCAAATGATTATTAAATGGGCCCCTTATCTGATTTACCTTCTAAATATGGTGCTTTATCTATATCAATCTTCAAACCTATCTGAATTTGTTCTTGTTTATAGACATAAATTGATGCTGATTGTTATCATCAGTTAGGATCTTATGATTCACTGAGTAAGAATTATGATCCAGCTTTGTCAACAATAATATCAGTTTATTATGTATTGGTGTTGGAAATGTGTTTTCATGACTTGATTGTGTTGATTTGATGGTTGAATCAGAAAACAATGGCTGAAGGAAAAGATTACTGTGATCGAAAGATCAAATTGCTGAGGTCGAATTTTGACCAACTAATCGAGGTATTATGACTATTTTGAAATTGAATTTGGAACAAAAAGTTTTCTAGTGAAAGAAGTATCAATGTATGAACCATGTATTGTAGTTTCTTAATGTTAATTCTGCATCTTGTCTTGTGAATAAAATACAGCACAAAAACGTTCGTAGAATTTAACAAGTTCTAAAAACTAAAAAAGAAAGTTTTTTTTTTCCTTTTTTTTAAAATGTTTTAAAACCTTGAATTTTATTATTTTTTTAAAAAATGATTGAACAAGTTTAATATTTTTGAGAACAGGAAGGTAAGGAGGAAATTGTTGTGTGAAAACAGGAAGTTTAATATTTTCCCAGCAGCCCATGATATATCCTTAAAGACTCTTGAAAACATCCTCTCATTAGTCATTTCTTTAGTTCTCATGATATAGTTATGCACAATGCTAGATAGAATTTTTATTTGAATTTGTTTTGTAACGGCTCAGATCCATTGCTAGTAGATATTGTCCTCTTTGGACTTTCCCTTTCGGGCTTCCTCTCAAGGCCTTAAACACGTCTACTAGGGGAAGGTTTCTACACCCTTATAAATGGTGGTTTGCTTTCCTCCCTAACCAACGTGGGACATCACATGTTTATTGTGCACCTTGAGCAAAAAAAAAAAAACCATGCTTAAGTCTTGAACAGCAGTTGTTCATTAGTATTCCTCATACTTCACTGTCACCTCTCCTATAAAAAACCCAATAATGGAGAGATCTTTTTTATTTAATTTACTCGGGAGTCTTTGTGATATGAACCAAAAGACATCAATCATACAATAACTCTAAATTACTCTAAATTGTAACCCACCCAAAATTTATAACAATCAAACTTCATTCTTCTTCAATGTAGCATGAATTGAAACATCTTTTGATAATTTTGACAATCTTTTCTTCACATCTTCATTGAAGTGTATTGTATGATTGATGTCTTTTGGTTCATATCACTTTGTTATAGAGGAAAATGAGGAACTAATTTACTGTGTACTGTTTGAACAAAAGCCTGCTAGACATCGAGTCAAAGTACTCATAAATTGTAAAGTAGGAGATTATGTTAGTGGTCACTACCCGTAAGTCGAGGCTGTACTTCTAGGCCCATTTGATATGTACCACCTTTACTTCATAAAATATTTAGGACAAGTTTGATCAACTCATCAAGATGAGTAGTTAATCTAAGGTGAGTCCAACATCTCCCGCTGAGTGACGAATAGTGACCAAGGCCCAAGCTTTGATTGATTTTGTCATGGAGGTATCCAAAACATAGCTGAACTTGCTTAAACCAAGTTAGCTAAATAGTGGCCACTGGCCCCCTCCTGCAACAACAAATCTTGTGGAGTTGGACTAATGCTCAAGACCCTTGGTGACTTGGTCCTTGAGCAGTCTATATAGCTCGAATTTTGATGCTTCGATAATGAGATGGACTATGTAACTCATGCCCTCGTCATAACATATAATCTTGCTTAGGAACTAAGAGAGAAATGATCCTAAACTAAACCCTGTCCTTGTCCCTTGGAAGAGCTGACCTTAGGCCTAAAGTTATTTTGAGGACTAGAGAGGTTGGCTACCTTCGGGTTCGAACCAAGCAGGGTCTAGCCTCGGTTTCAGGGGAAAACAGAGTAAATATACATTTAATTTAACATTTATTTCCTTGGCAAAAGTTTGTTTTGATTGTTTTACCATTTCAACATGCAGATTGCTACTAAAAAGAAAAAAGTAGCAGATGAAGCTGGGGTGATCTTACAAGCAAAGCTGAAGCAGATGGCTGCTACAACATAGGAGGAAGATGTGTGACCATATAATATGTAAGGTATTGATTGGTTAAACGTGCCAAAATTTTTATAGGGTAGAAAGATGTGGATGAAATTTGGGAGGTCAGGTTCGTGTCGCATTTGAGGTGTCAATAAAACCTCTAGATATCTGTAGAAGAAGGATTTAACAACTCTTTTCAATTCATGATATAGATGTTGTGATATTATATGAAAATTTGAAAGGCTTAATTTTCATTTGTTCGTCCTAGGTCGTGAAAATTTAAGAACTAAAATAGATAGATCTTTCAACTTATAGTACAACAATCACATAAAGCCATGTTCTAGGATGGTAGTTGATCATCATATAAAGCTATCCTCACTTTCATCATCTTCCTCATATACCTCTGAAATGAAGGATGGATTATTGCCTCTATATGGCATCCTCTCCTCAAGTCTCTCAAAATACGATATCTTCAATCCATGTCTTCGAGCAATTTGTGACCGAACCCAATATGGCTGATTCCCTCTTTGTCCCGTAACTATGACATTAGTAGCATCTATTGCAAACTTAGTCAAGGGAACTAGCACCTCAGGCTCGATAGCTGCCGATGCATCCAACAGAAAAATATGGCTAAAATGTCCAGGAGCCGAGCCTTTAGTACGTAGTCGAAAGCTGCTCATGAACGTCGAGAATATTATCTTGTATTTGTGGAGCTCGTCAAGTGCAGGACAAGCGAAACACTCCTGATCCCTGTTGTAGTCACACAGTGGTAAGATGTCATCTGGGACCTCGTCTCGTTCTCGAAAAGCCGCGATAGCACGGAACATGTTCGACTCAGGAATCACCTTCTTCAAAGATATCATCAACTCATCACATGTTGTATTCCTGGGAGCACATATCAGAATTTTACAATTAGGAGAGGTTGAGTAAATCTGAAACACTGCTCCTACAACAACTTCTCCTGTTCTCGTGATTTTCCTAGTTTGATTCTCTGCCCAGTCATAAGAGCTAACACAGGGTGAACCTCTGATTAGGTAAGGTGGTGAACCTTGTAAGAGTAAAATCTGACGAATTGCATTCTTTTGAGCAGGGTCAAGTAATTGCTGGCCTGAACGTGTAACTTCGATGTAGGGGTTGACTTTTCTGGACGTGGATTTAGGAAAGAGGAAACTCTGGAGCAAAGAATCAGACGCTTCTTCTATAGCTTGGTGAGCTCTCTTTAAACAAACTCTGTTGAAGGTAAAACTGATGTCGTATTTGTCGGTTTTGCGATGCCGAGAATGGAAGTCTTCCCCAAAATTGACCAACAGAATGTTATTCATCCTTAATTGATAATTACTCTTGGAAACTCTGTAGACAAGGCCCTGTGCAACATGAAAATTGCAAGCATTAGTTACGAGTTCGACGTATAAGAGGTTAGTTTAGACAATGCATGCATCTATAGCTACTCTTTTTAAGTATTTTTTTCAAATGAAATGTGAGCAAATTTTGTTCTTGCAACCTGAGTTTACTGATGATGGGCAAGTTTTTCCCATTGATTAGACAAGTTCAGTTGAGCCAACCAAAAACCTAGTTGGTCTTTTTTTTTCCTAGTCCTAGAATTTTTATGAGTATTCTACAAAGATTGAAATACATCTCAAGTAAGCAAGTAATACCTGAAATGGCTCAAGTTTCCTCTCACAAAGCCTTGCATGAACCAAATCCCTTGACAAGAGAAATGGCCGCCTCTCAGGGACAGAGTCGATCTCAAATGCCACAAAGGTTTTAGTGACCTTCTCATGGCCATTGAACTTTGTTTTCTTGTTCGGTCCTTTATGGATTGTTATTTGTTGGAGCTCCAAACTGACATTTCTCAATTTGTAATCACTCCATTTCTGGACAAGGACAAACAAAATATAGCATATCAATCGACACCGATACGAAAACTACTATCATAGAGAAGAGCACGCGCAATGCAAGCTGACCTTATAATAGAAGTCCTCAGCATAGAGCAGGGCAGCAAAGTAAGACTTATATGTTGAAGGCGACAGAGGTTTTCTCAGAACATGAGGTACAATGTCGTTTTTTATCAGATCTTCAATATCCTTAGGAGCTAAGTACAAAGTCGACAAACTATCAGAATCCAATATGTACTCCTGTGCATTTGTTTTACTGGATGAAGTTGGATGTAGAGTCGGCTCTCGAGGAGGTTCGGGGAAAGATGTAGTAGATGGGGAGGGAAGAAAATAAGAGGGCTTTGGAGTTGGTGTTGGCAGTTTAGATGAAGAAACAAGTTGGTTAACTGAAGATCGGGTTAAGTCAGAGGAAACTGGAGAAGGAGATCGTAGATACGATATCTCTTGAGGTCTAAGAAGTGACGATGAAAGCGAATGGGCTCCGAAGGAAGACGAAGACGACGAAGAAGAACTAATAGAGCCTGATGGAGTTGAATGTGAAGACTGAGGTTTACTATAATGCTGCAATGGACTTGAAGTCTTGGCATTATAAGATGCTGTACTACTCTTCTCCAATGTCGACGATGAAACCGAATGAGCTCTGAAGGAAGATGAATTGGATTTCCCACAGTCGGGAGCAGCAGCATGTGAAGATGGTTTTGGGAATACAGGTGAAGACTGAGGTTTACTAGAATGCTGCAGTAGATTTGAAGTCTTGGCAGTACAAGATGCTGTACTACTCTTCTCCAATGTCGACGATGAAAGTGAATGAGCTCCGAAGGAAGATGAACTGGATCTCCCACAGTTGGGAGCAGCAGCATGTGAAGATGGTTTTGGGAATACAGAGGAAGACTGAGGTTTACTAGAATGCTGCAATAGATTTGAAGTCTTGGCATTATAAGATGCTGTACTACTCTTCTCCAATGTCGACTCTTTTGCCTTGGAATAATTTGGATAATGATAATAATAAAGAAGAGGAGTTACAGCAGAAGTATCTGGTTGGATTTTTTGATAACTACTTGAATCACTAACGTCGGAAACTCTGAATCTTTCAGAACTATTAGCAGTATAAATTTCACGGTAATTGTTGTCAAGATCAGGATCATCACAACAACAGCAAAAGCAACGCAAGATGTGAAGAAACACTGACATATCGACCTTCTGCATGAATTTGAAGAGGAAAAAAACAACAAAAAAATCAGTTGAACCCTAAGTTTTACTGTGATCACTGTCTTGTTTTAGAATTCAATCGGAGAATCTTAAAAGCTGTTCGTGCAAAAGGAAAAGTGTTCACTATCAAGAACAAGCCAAACAAGATTTAGATCCTTAACCTGGAGATTAAAAAGCTTATCGGAACTTGAAATTACAGTATGACTGGCATTCAGAAAAGGATAGGGCTCCGATCGACTCACCGGTTAGTTCTTCCTACTGAACAGACAAAAGCGATGAGAAACTAGAAACAAGGAAGCTACGCTACGCAGATGACCTGAAAATCAAACCGTATACAAAGTCTAGAAAATTGCAGTAGAAAAAAATGGAGTCACCTGGAGATCTTGAGCTACAATCCGATCATCAACAACTCTTCATCTGACCGAAAAGAAGTAAAAAAAAAAAAAAAGCATCAAACACTGACCTCGCACCTTTCTTTGTCATTAAGGCAATGAAGTCCAAATGTAGAGAAAGAATACCGACGCCTTTCGGTAATATGATTGAGGAATAGCGCTGTGGAGCCCAACAGAGATTGCGCATCCATCCATCCATCAGGATGTTGACTCTGGCAATTCGGAAGACAGTGTCGACGAAAAATTGGCCGAAGGTTTCTTCGAAGGAAAAATTAGCGGAAGTAAAAGGAGAGAGAGTGAGAGATTCACTGATAATGCTGAAGACTCGATGTTTTTATTGCAGTGATCATCGCATGGTTTGGTGGTTTATTTGCTTGATTCCGAGTAACATTTTGAAAACTGGAAGCAGAAATGAAGGCGAAAACAAACCGTTGGGAGAAGGAGAGTTGAAAGATCAAGGACGATAGCGGAAGAAGGGAAGCTGTTGGAGTGGCATGGCGGCAACGTGGAAGAAAGCTCATGGTTGTGTAGAGGAAGCCATAGCCATGGAAAAGGTCGTGCGAGTCAACTTTTTTAAAGCTAGACGAAGATACAGAGGTTTCATGGAATTATTTGGCCACCCATTATAATTACCTAAATATATTATATATTATATTATATTATATTATATTATATTATATTATATATATGATGCATTTTATTTTGAATTGTTTTTAGTTAATTGGGATTATTAACTGCTATTATATATATAATTCTATTTTAGTTGAAAAAATTTCACGTTCATTCCCACTAAGTTTTGAAATGGAATTGGCATTGGAGGATTCCCATTCGAGGATTGGTCCCCACGTGAAAAAAGTTCCATTTTTCACTTTCCATTTTTATTTTTAATAAAAAGAAAATAGATAAATATGTTAAATTATGTATACTTCTGTATACTCATTGTTTATTTATTTAACTATTTTTTAAAAATATTTAACGATTTAATACAAAAGGTTATTATTATTATAAATTAAATTATGAGAGAATTGAGTTTTAAAGAAATTTATAGGGAAAGTAAGAAATTTATAGGTATTTTATTAATTTAGGGATACTATTTGGTTATGAAATATTTTGATTTATTATGATTTTTAATAAATTAATTATTATAAGATGAGAATTTTAAAATAACTATTTTTTTTAGGAATATTAAAAAAAAAAACTTTATGGAAAATTATTGTCTCAATCACTGCAAAAATAAATGGACCATTTGGAGAAGATGGAAAATGAAATAGGTGGCAGTAGACGAAAAAGGTTTCTTCATTCACACCCCGCTCCGATCTCTGCAAAAATAAATTGAAAATTTCGTGTAAATAAAAAATGAAATAGGTGGCAGGAGACGAAAAAGGCTTCTTCATTCACACCCCGCTCCGATCTCTGCAAAAATAAATTGAGAATTTTGTGTAGATAAAAAATGAAATAGGTGACGGGATAAAGACTAGAAAAGTTTCTCCAGCTCCGTATTTCATTAAAAATTATTATTACTCCAGCCCCCGTATTTTATTAAAAATTATTATTATTATTGGACCGCTTCTATTAAAACTTAACACGAAGATTAGTTTCAAATTTGCCTTTTTTTTTACTAAATTACAAATTTAATTATTAATTTTTAAAATTTTTATTATAATTTTCTAGTCAATTAAACATATATTTTAAATTTAAATTTAACGAATGAATTAATTTTTCAAAATTTTGAATTTGGTGGACTTATTTATTACAAAATAAAAAATTAGTATTCTTAGATTTAAAGTTTAAAAGTTGAGGAGACATAAAAGTTAATTAAAATTCAATAGACTGTGACTGTACTACATACTACTACGTACGAGGTGATTTTCAGCGACTTGTCTTTTCTTTCAGTTCACAACTAGCTTAACACAGAAGCAAAGACTCCTCCGCTATCTTCTTCGATTGTTTGATCGTCACTATAATCAGAGGCTGAAATCAACAGATTCTTGTACGGATTCTTTTGCGCTCTTCTGAGTGTTTTTGTTCCTTTTGATCGATTCAGGAGGACGATGTCGATGATTATAAATTTTCTGCGTCGCATTTTTGGGATCGATCGTCCCGAGAATGACAATCGTGGAAAAGCTCGGCAGCTTCGCGTTTTTGCAAGCTCTTACACGGGATCGAAATCGGAGTTCGACAAAGGCGGCTGTTCGAGAAGGTTTCATCCGAGTAGGTATCAGTTAAGCCAATCAGTTATATCAATCAAAATTCGTCCGAAGTTCGGCAGGCCTTTGAGAGATTTAATTAAGAAACCTAAATCTCTGTTTGAGTCGCTTGTGACGATACATATGTTGGAAAGAGGGATAGTGAAAGAGATAAGAATAGATGAATGCTGCGATGCTTTATTATTGTCTACTGACTTGATGCATAGAGGCTTACACAATTCCAGTATTTATAGCTTATACACTGGACCAGAAATAGTAAATCATCGAAATCTAGAAAGAATTTAAATCTACTAACAATCTCCTAAAAATCTCATAGTTTGAATATTTGAATCATATCTTCATTTTGAATCATATCTTCATTTTGAATCATATCTCAACACTCCCCCTTGATTCAAAGTTGCAAATGCCAAGTAATCGTCTGAAGTAGCAAAACTTTTCTTTTGACAAAGCCTTGGTAAGTATGTCTGCTAGCTGTTCATCGGTGTTACAATATTCCAAGACAATTTCTTCGTCTGCAACAAGATCACGAATATAGTGATGTCGAAGTTCAATATGTTTTGTTCTACTGTGAAACGCTGGGTTCTTTGTCATAGAAATAGTTGCTTTATTATCACAAAATATCTTTGTTGTCCCTTTTTGCTCTTGTTGAAGGTCAGCTAACATTCTTCTTAGCCAAATGGCTTGACACGCTGCTGAAGTTGCTGCAACATATTCTGCTTCTGATGTTGACAGCGCCACTGTTGCTTGTTTCTTTGAGCTCCAAGTGATCGCTCCTGACCCTAAAGTGAAAACATTGGCTGAAATGCTTCGTCTATCATCTAATGATCCTGCCCAATCACTATCAGTGAATCCATATAGTTTGAAATTAGAGGATTTAGAATACCAAATTCCATACTCCATAGTTCCGGCAATGTAACGTAAGACTCTTTTTGCTGCTCCATAATGAACCTTTGAAGGATGTTGCATAAACTTAGAAATAATACCAACAGGAAATGCAATGTCGGGTCGTGTGTGAGTTAAGTAAATCAGTCCGTCAACCAAGCTCCTGAACCTTCTAGCATCTGTCATTTCTGCTCCATCATCATGTTGTAATTTCTCATTAATATTCATAGGTGTAGCTGCAGGCTTACAATTAAGCATACCAAATTTACTCATAATATCTTTGGCATATTTTCTTTGTGAAATAAAAATTCCATCTTCAACTTGATATACTTCAAGACCAAGAAAATAGTGCAATAGACCCATATCTGACATCTCAAATTCACTCATCATTTGAGACTTAAATTTATCCAAAAGAGAGTTAGAAGAGCTAGTGTAAATAATATCGTCAACATAGAGGCAAATAATGATGAAATCACTTTTACCTTCCTTCTTCACATATAAAGTAGGCTCATTCTCACTTCTCATGTATCCTTTCTTTTGAAAATACCCATCAATCTTGCTGTACCAAGCTCGAGGGGCCTGCTTTAATCCGTATAGTGCCTTTCTCAACTTGTATACCTTTGTTTCTTTGTCCTTCTTTATGAATCCTTCTGGTTGTGCTACATAAACCTCTTCTTGTAAATCTCCGTTAAGAAATGCTGACTTAACATCAAACTGATAAACTGGCCACCGCAATTCTGCTGCTAATGCTAGAATAGTTCTTACAGTTTCAAAACGAGCTACTGGAGAAAAAGTTTCTTCAAAATCTATACCTTGTTGTTGTGCATACCCTTTTGCTACAAGACGGGCCTTATGCTTTTGTATGCTTCCATCTGGTGCAAATTTTGTCTTGAACACCCATTTCAAATTGATTGCATTTTTTCCGTTTGGTAAGTCAACCATCTCCCATGTTCCATTTTTCTCAATGGACTGCATCTCTTCTACCATGGCTTTCTTCCACTCTTCTTTTTCAGCTGCTTCGTCATAACACATAGGATCTGAAACAGTAAGAGCAAATTGACATGATGCATATATGTCAGTTAAAGATTTATACTTCTTTGGAGGTGTCTCATCTGAAAGTTCTTCAAGAGAAGAATCACTGTTTAGTGATGCTGAAGATGATGAATTTGACACATTTTGTGTTGCAGTGGAGACACTAGGAGATGCACTGGAGTTGACCCTTGTTTCTTCATTTGGGGAAACTTCAACTGTAATCTTTTGCTGCTCCTGTTCTTTACTCCAATCCCAACTCACATTTTCATTAAATATTACATCCCTTCTAACTAAAATCTTTTCACTGATGGGGTTGTATAATTTATATGCCTTTGATTGAGTACAATAGCCAATGAAAATGCATTTTTCAGATTTTTCATCAAGCTTTTGACGAACTTGAGGATGTTTCAAAGCATAAGCAACACAACCAAAGATTCGTAAATGACTTACAGATGGTTTCCTTCTATGCCATGCTTCATAGGGAGTTCGATTCATAACCGCCTTTGTTGGTGAGATGTTTAATAGATAAACAGATGTTGCTACGGCTTCTGCCCAAAATTGGTCTGGAAGTCTCCTTGCTTGTAACATACTTCTTGCCATCTCCACAATAGTTCGATTTTTCCGTTCAGCGATTCCATTTTGTTCTGGAGTGTAGGGAGCTGTTAATTCCCTTTGGATGCCCTCTTCTTCACAGAACAGATTGAACTCTTTAGATATGAACTCGCCACCTCTGTCTGTTCGAAGAACTTTAATGTGACAGCCACTTTGGTTCTCTACCATAGCTTTAAACACCTGGAACTTCTGAAAAGTTTCTGACTTATGTTGTAGGAAGTAGACCCAGCTCATACGACTATAATCATCAATGAATAGTAAAAAATATATACTCCCACCCAAGGAATTCGTTTGCATTGGCCCACATAAATCAGCATGAATTAGTTCTAGACAGTGTGAAGCTCTTCTAGCTTTTCCAACCGGAAAGGACTTCCTAGTCTGCTTGCCATAAATGCATCCTTCACATAAATTAGTTGAGTCAATTCTTGGTAATCCGAAAACCATACCTTTATTCCTGAGTATTTTCAGGCCGTTCATATGAAGATGTCCATATCTGAGATGCCATAATGTTGAGTCATCTTTCGTGCTAGCCGCAAGAGCAAAATCCTCAATGTTAGAAATATCAAGTGGAAACATCTTATTTGAAGTCATGGCAATTTGAACTTTATGACCTGATTTTTTATGTGTAATGACACATGTGTTGTCATCAAATAGAACTGAATGTCCTCTAGTCATCAATTGTCCAACACTCAATAAGTTATACCCTAAATCAGGTACAAATTGAACATTATCTAATTGTTTTATCTTACCATGACTGGTTTCGACTTTCACCGTACCTTTTCCCTCAACTTGCATCTCTTTTGTGTTTCCAAGTTGCACCTTAATTTTTTGCGTCTCATCCAGCTCTTTGAATAAGGATTTGATGCCTGTCATATGGTTCGAGCATCCGCTATCAACAAACCATAAGTCACCTTTTCTTGGATTAGTATCCATGCACGCCATAAGCAGCTTTTCTTCTTCTTCTTCATTCTCTGCTGCAAAATTCATTCGTTGATTTTTATACCAACAATTAGATTTTGTGTGCCCATACCTTTTGCAATAGTAACATTGTATGACATTCCTTTGTTCATTGAATTGTCTCTGTCCATCACTTCTCCATCTACCCCTGTTATCACGACCACCATGGAAGCTGCGAAATCCTCCTCTTCCATGACTTCTATCTGCTAAATGACTATTTTCTCTTCCGTTGTTGGTTGTCTCCTTCACTTGTAGTGCCTTTTCTTCGTTCCTTTCTGATGCTCTGTTGATTCTTGCCTCATGAGCCTGAAGCGAGCCCATCAGTTCATCAACGGAGAGTATGGATAGATCCTTAGCTTCTTCTATGGCGGCCACCACATGGTCAAACTTTGGAGTCAAGCTTCTCAACACCTTTGCAACAATTGTTTCGTTTGAAATTTTCTCTCCATAGGTACGCATCTGACTGACTATTGCCATTGATCTTGACAAAAAATCAGCAATTGATTCGCCATTCGTCATGAGTAGAGTTTCAAAATCACGTCTTAGAGATTGCAATTTCACTGTCATGACCTTTGAGTCTCCTAGAAACTCCTTCTGTAGAATTGACCATGCCTGCTTTGATGTGGTTGCTGCTGCAATTCGTGAAAAAATAGTCTCATGAACTGCTTGCTGAATAATGAATAGAGCCTTGGCATCGTTTTTCTTGGTTTCTCTTAGTCTCTCCTTTTCTTCTATTGTGGGTTCTAATACATCAGCAAACCCGTGCTCCACCAAGTCCCATAGCTCCTGCGATCTGAGCAAGGTCTTCATCTTGATGCTCCACCACTCATATTTCTCACCATTAAAGATTGGTAACAACGGTGCAGAGGAAGAAAAACCAGCTACTGCCATTTTTGTTTTGTGAAAGAAAATAATCACTCGCCCTCGTGTCGAACGAACTTGGCTCTGATACCAAAATTGTTGGAAAGAGGGATAGTGAAAGAGATAAGAATAGATGAATGCTGCGATGCTTTATTATTGTCTACTGACTTGATGCATAGAGGCTTACACAATTCCAGTATTTATAGCTTATACACTGGACCAGAAATAGTAAATCATCGAAATCTAGAAAGAATTTAAATCTACTAACAATCTCCTAAAAATCTCATAGTTTGAATATTTGAATCATATCTTCATTTTGAATCATATCTTCATTTTGAATCATATCTCAACAACATACAGTCAGACCGTCGGCTTCAATTAAGAACTCGGAATCTTCGTCCAAGTCCGCCGTGAAGACATATGCTACCGGACAGTCGATTTCAACCGAGAAACTGAAATCGACGTCTAAGGTCGTCGGACAATTTGATTCAGTTAAGAAATCGGAATCCGTTAGCGTTTCGAGAGCTTCAGTGCCTTCTTCTGAGTTCATTGCGAAGATAGACGCCACCGCACAGTCGACTTCAATTGAGAAATCGGAATCCGTTAGGGTTTCGAGAGCTTCAGAGCCTTCTTCTGAGTTCATCGCGAAGACAAACGCCACCGCACAGTCGACTTCATTTAACAAATCGGAATCCGTCAGGGTTTCGAGAGCTTCAGAGCTTTATTCTGAGTTCATCGCGAAGACATACGCCACCGCACAGTCGACTTCAGTTAACAAATCGGAATCCGTCAGGGTTTCGAGAGCTTCAGAGCCTTCATCTGAGTTCATCTCGAAGATCTACGCCACCGCACAGTCGACATCAAATAAGAAATCGGTATCAGATAGTCATTCGAGAGCTTCAATTTCTTCATCGAATTTCTTCGTGACAACACACACTACCGGTAGATCGGCTTCTCCTAAACCGGCGGTGCCGCTGCCGCAAGTTACCGCCGAGCCACCGCCGACCTCGAACCCGACTCTGCGTCCAGTTTCTGGCCATGGAAGGAATCGGTCGGCGTACATTCTGGAGGCGAACAGTTCCTTGGCCTTGTACTTAATTCCTAAAGACGTTGAAGAGTTGATCAAAAACGACGCTGTTCCTCCAGTTCTGAGACATCCCGTGTGTCCTGCGACTTACAAGTCTTATTTTGCTGCTCTTCTCTACGCTGAGGACTTCTACTGTAAGGTAAACTTGAGCAAATTTATACACAAGAGCATAATATTGTCCACTATAAGCTCTCGTGGCTTTACTTTAGGTTTTCCCAAAAGGCCTCGTAGCAATAGAGGGAGTATTCTTTGATTATAAATCCATGATCATTTCTTAAATTAGCTGATATGAGACTTTCATCATCCAACACCTCCTCTTGAACAAAGTACGCCTCCCCTTAATCGAGGCTCGACTCCTTTTTCTTTTGGAGTCCTTTGTTCGACATTTGAGGATTTACCAATCTATTAGCACGACTAAGTTTTAGGGCATGACTTTGATACCATGTTAGATGAACATGAGTCTCCACAATAGCATGATATTGTCATGCTCTCATGGCTTTGCTTTGGGCTTCCTACCAATAGAGACAGTATTTGTAGCTTATAAACTCAGGATCTTCAGGGTTACCTAAAAAATCATATGAACTCGATTAGAATGGTCGGTCATCCTAAAATTAGGATTTAGAGGAACTAATTCCTACGGAGATTTCTAACTCTAATTGAGGAGGAGTCAGCTTAACATAAAATGAAGATGGTAGGGAGAAAAATTTCCAACATTCTGAAAGCGTAACTTAGACAATAAAAGGGGGTTCGATACTAAAACTAGAGGAGCGATTGGTTGGATCACCAAATCCCGACCCAGCATCCCACATTCTCCAAACCTGAAAAGTTATATTGAGCATGTGCATTTTCATTTTGGACCTTTTGTCGAACCCATTTAATAACGATTTTGTTTATATTCTTAAGAATTATTCTTTTTTTAGTTTCCAAAATTTATTTTAAAGAAAATTAACGTTTTTGTTTGTCTTTATCCAGAAATGGAGCGACTACAAATTGGAAAGCGTGAATTTAGAGCTTCAAGAAATTGCGATTCGTAAACAAGCAAATAGAAAAGGGAGAATCAACGACGATGAAAAGTTCTATAAAACCTTCGTGGCATTCGAGTTTGATTCAGTTCCTGAGAGGCGGCCGTTTCTACTGTCGAGGGATTTGGTCCACGCACGACTCTCTGGGACCGAATACGAGCCATTTCAGGTAATACGAGTTTATTTCAACAATTACGAAGTTCTTAATTATTTAATTTGCTCTGTTTTTCTATAACTTTACTAGTTGAATCTCTCCATGTAACGTCCAAAAAAAAAAAAAAAAAAAAAAAAAAAAAAAAAAAAAAAAAAAAAAAAAAAAAAAAAAAAAAAAAAAAAAAAAANCCCTGGCTCCGCGACCCGACCCGCGCTCCTTGGCTGACCCGATACCCGCACGGCGAACCGAATCCAGTTGACGACCCGCGGTCCACCCGAATCACCGCTTCCGACCCGAACCCGCGACCCGCGACTGCAGGAATTTCTGGGCGCGTGACACTCGCGCGTGGAACCCGCGAGTGGCTGCTCCCCAGCGCGTGACTGGCGCGTGGAGGCGCGTGTAAGCTGTTTTTGGCCCGATCGGCTTCTGTTTTCCCTAGTTTCCCCTGATTCATATCCTAACTCCATTTGTTTGTATGAAATAGGACCTTATTGAGGAAAAATCACCCCCTCTCGTTACGCCAAGTGTGTGGAAACGCTGCGTAAGGGCACGTAGCATCCAAGTAAGTCGCCACACGGAATTTAGGAAGTAATACTTGTAGGAACCGCTTGGGATGCATGCATGCTAGTCTGAATATTTTAGGTTGTAGCTTTCCCGTAAATGTTCGTAGGAAATAGTTTATTGAACGTAAGATGTATGCTGTGATTTGTTATGAGAGTTACTTGGATACTGCTTATATGCTCTTAATTCCCACTTTATTTTATGCATATGTATATCTTTTTGCTGAATGGAGAATGGAAAATTTGCGAACTCTGAGCTCCGGGAATTGATGGATGTTATCACCCCGTCGAGCTTGTATGATTACTTTGCATGAAATATGTTTGAGGTTTTTGGATAATAGTTATGTACGTACTCGGTTATTTTTAGGGCCACCTTTATGAATAAGACTAGAAGACAATGGTTAGAGCGACAAACCATCAAGGGATCGACTTAACCTTTCCCTATTAGTTTATCAGACCATCACGGCACATGAAACATCCTTAGAGTACCCTTAAGCTACTTGTGTGTGGATGGTGATATAGCTTCGTGGGGGACCAGCGGGTTCCTGATCAGGACTCGACTGCTCGATAGCCGTTTAGTATGGGAAACGGGATACCCACGTCGTAATTGACCGTTTAGCTGGATGGAATAGGGGAGGTAGCCCTCCCAAATACAGGGGGATTATCATGGGTCTAGGGGGTTGCAGCTCACTTCCTAGGCAAGACCCCAGGTAATCTCATACCCATGCCGAGGTAGCCACTCGTAAGGCACCAGTCCAACACAGGTTAGCATAAAAGGAACTCTATGGGTTTAAATAAAAGGTCTAGGAACCAAAGAGGACCAAAGGGATAAGTTCCAAGAGAGAAAGCCCTAATGAGGTAAGGCCCGATTTCAGTTGTTCTAGAGCCAAAGGAAAGCCCGTGATCGTCTGCTAAGTTTAGGGTGCGGTAAGAGCCTACAAGTAGGTGGCTTACTGAGTATAATTTTTAAACTCATTCCCTTTATACTTTTTTTTCAGGTACGTGAGGCGTCGAGTCAAGAGAGGGCGCGTCGATCGATGTGGGTTGTCACAGAGGAAGCGTGTCCCGGGGCGTCAGTCTAGTTTACTAAATAGTACACTTTGTCTCACATGTTCCTTTCCTTGTTTTTCTTTTACCTAGGCACTTATGTCCTTCTAATAAAGATATGTTTTTCTTTTGAAACAAATGATTTCCTTGAATTTCTCGTTTATGCATTACATGTCATACAATGTTAGTCACGGCTTAATTTGGGGTCGTGACAAATTTGGTATCAGAGCACCAGGACATAGGTCCTGTAGACACTTAGGTTAGAGAGTCGTATCCTCTGTGACGCGCCCATCAATCACGTGCTGCTCGCGACCAGACAGTCTCACGAATCTGAATTGAGAAATTATGAGATAAGATATGAAGTAGAGAGTTTTCTTTTTCATGACTGTTCTCTTGTGTTTTACAACACATTTCCTAGAGGATGAACCCTGTATGTAATGTAACCACAAAGTTTTCGTTGTGGTAGCTAAATGGCACCTAAGAGAAGTGGAACCTATCTCGGGCCTGGACCTAGAAGGGGAAGAAGAAGAGTCGCTCAGAACACTGATGTCCCGTCTCCTGAGGCGGAACAACCTGTACCTGAACCTCAAGAGGAGGTTGAAGAAATGCCTGAATGGTTTGAATGTCCTATACCACGGGCACCAAGGTCAGGAATGAGTCAGAGGAGAGCAGTGACTCAAGATTTACCGGACGCAGACTCTACTGCTCCTTCTCCTGAAGCGGTCCCATCAGTGCCCACCGATAACGTGGAGGTTCCACCTAGACAACCAACAACTATCCTCACTACAGATGTAGTACAGTCTTTTATGTTAACCTCTATGGAAAACCAAGCTCAAATGGCTCAGATGATGCAAACACTGGTCACTAACCAGGCCATGATGCAACAGGCCATTCAACAGGCAACGCTGCAACAGACAACATTACAACAGACAGCGATGCAACAGGCAGCTACGCAACAGGTAGCAATACAACAGACAGCATTGCTGGGAAACAGAGACTCTGGAACTATGACCATAGAGGCTCGTTATCTTAAGGATTTTCAGAGGCAGAAACCGCCTTCCTTCGAAGGTGGCAAAATAGATCCTATTGCAGCAGAAAATTGGCTAGAGGCCATGGAAAAAGCCTTCTTTTACATGAACTGTCCGCTGGAATATCAGGTTCACTGCGGAACGTATATGTTGGAAGGAGAGGCTCATTTGTGGTGGAAGGGTGCTAAGAAGTTGATTGCACCTCTTGGAGAGCCTATCTCTTGGCCTCAGTTCAAAGAGGCTTACCTCCGCAAATATTATCCAGTCGCTGCTAGAATGAAGCTGCAAGCAGCATTTCATGAACTCAAACAGGGTGACCTATCTGTGGAGGATTATGATCAGGAGTTTAATAGATTGTCTAGATTCTCTCCTATATATGTCAGTACTGAAGAGCTTAAGGCTGAACGTTTTATCGCCGGCCTAAGGGAGAACATTAGAGGTTATGTGGCATCACAG